TCAACAAGTGAAAATACTGCTTTAATGTACAGTCTATGTATAATTACCACACTATTAAAATTATTTTCATTCATATACGAAACCATTTCTAGGAATTCATATATTTATGATGAACTATGTATTATGATTTCTGCAGTCTCTGAAATAAGGCAAAAATTAATTTAAAGAGTTAAGAAAAATGATTATACTTTTCAATGCTGTGGTATTCACCGTTAGCTTTTTGTGTTTATAGAAATTTGAAAAAGCTCGTGGTTCCGGAAATATAAGGCGGCAAAAATTCTAATTTTACAAATTTCTAAAGGCGATAAGTTGAGAGGGGGTGGAGATTGAAAAAAATTTTCTTTTAACAAAATGAACTATTTGTTAGTGCCTAAAACTTGGTAAAATTTCAGGCTCCCACAACTTGGGGTCTAGAAGAAACGGATTTTAAATAACGGTAAATTTGAACAGCCATTTTGTTATTTTAAAGTTTAACTATAGTATGCCACGATAGAAGAAGCAAGCCACAGCCTTTCTGCGTTTGCAAAATTTCAAAAATGTTTATGGTTTCACTGCAATAAATAGTTAAAAAATGGCGGTTTTAGGGTTTTTGGGATATAACCTCTAGAGTGGGGGAGATAGGTGAAAATTTTGTTCTATGGAAATAAGTTTCTAGTAAACATCTATGTACATATTGGATTTCAACTTTCTCTCAAGGGTGTAGAAGTTTTGTAAACATGTCCACGGACAGGCGGACAGAGTGAAACTAATAAGCACTTTTTTAGCAAAAATGTTAAACTGTATCAAAATTTTGATGACAGAAAAATTTATTTAATAAATAATGAATTAATCTATTTTAATAAAGTATTAAAAAAATTTTAGATCATGAATTTTCTAATCAAAAAATAAAGAGAAAGAACGATACTATTATCATGAACAAAAACAAAATTTTACTGATAAAATAACATTTGAAAAATTTAATGTAAATTATGAATCAAATTTGAAGCGAAACAAATAAAAGAAGGAGAAATTAGCTATCATAAGCATGGTGAAACACATGTTAAAATTAAGCCATTTTAAGTGTTATAAAATATAATTAAAGTAAAGGATAACTCACAAATATAAATAGAAGTAAAAGTATTGTAAGGAAGATGATTATTATTATAACTGTAAAAAAGTCCGAGTAGTTCTTAAAAAAAATTAAATTTAGAAGTTTTTAATGTAACTAGATTAAGATTGTGAATATAATAAATATAATAAAATAATTTTTTTTAATATTTCAAAATACAAATACATAATTCGCATCACAGGCCTTGTGGATAATAAGGAAACAAACAACAGAAGTAAGTTTTTATTAGAATACCTAATATCAGAGAACCTAGAAATATTTGATGTAGGAAACGTTTTGACTTTTGTTACTAGGATAAGAGAATATGTGTTGGACATCACATTTGGAATCCCAAATGTGAGAAATTTGGTTAGAGATTGGAGGCTGTCCGAAAAGACTTTCATGTCTTACTATAAAATTTTCAGGCTCAGCATGGAGGAGTTTCAGTCAGGAATATTGCGAGATATTATCGGGATTTAGAACTGGCTGTAAATGACAAATAGTTTAAGGATTCATGAGTATCCAGGTGCCCTTTTGGTTGGATCAAAATCGTCCACTATTGGTAGGTCTGACGATATTTCAGTCGATTATTCTGAATAACTATATCAAAAAAAAATTATCTGCGTTTACACGACGACCTCTGCAGAAACGGCTGCCGTACGCTTTCTTTTTAAATATTGCAGAAGTCTTCGCGTACACACAAGTATTGTTATTTATAAAAATTTATATGTACCTATTTTCAATTTTAAATAAAAAAAAAGCAAAACTAATTTAGTGTTAGTAGACTCATATTCTATTTTCCTTTGCAATATACAAATGTTCTTAGTATATATATTAATACCTATATACGAGAGAATAAAATTTTACTGTTGTCATTAATTTTAAAAAACTTTCATTTGAGTTTTAACGGAGGGTTTGATTGATTTCATAAAATCACTTAATTTTTACCGACCGTATTGTGTATACAATAGGTAGGTTATGTGATGGCAACAAATTTTGCATATCGAGTTTTCGGTGGGAACGTACTTCTCCATAGTAGGGAAGTGTAAATAAACTATTTTTAGCAACCTGTCGGTCTGTCGGTCTGTCGGTCTGTCGGTCTGTGTGTGCACGCGTGTATCTCAAGTTCGGCTGAACCGATTTTGATGAAATTTTATATGTAAGTTTGTTTCCACCATGGCACGGATCGATCAACTTTTGGTATATATCAGGCCTCGGGAACTGCACTTTTTAGCTTGCCCGTTTTACATTTTTGAACATTTTGAAGAAACTATTCAACCGATTTGCTTGAAATTTCATATATAAGCTACACTCGACCGGCCCCAAAACCTCCTAACTTTTGGAAGAAATCAGGCGTCAGCAACTAGACGTTTACTACGGGCCAAATATACATTTTTGCGTATATAAAGAGAAATAATCAACCGATTTCATTGAAATTTAATATATGAACTCCTCGTATTAAAACAAAGAACATATAAATTTTTTGGAAATATCAGGGCTCGAAAACTGATCTGCGGGCCGATCTTACATTTTTCACCATATCTGCGGAACTAATTGATAGAATTTCTTGAAATTTGATATTTGAGTTCTGATTGTAACCGAAACTGACTGACGAGCATTTCAGGGAATTCGGGTGGCACAAAGTGAAACTCTATTAAGAGCCAAATTTACATTTTTCTAGGTATGTTAACTATAAGCTTACTAATGTCCTAAAAATTGGAAAGAGGTAATTAACAGGCATTTTTATAATATTCTGTAACACTTTCACTTAACTAGACAATGCACAATGCGGTCGGTTATGTGCTGACCACATCAGATTTTTTTAGTTGCGAAACTTTTGTGTGAAGATAAATCGCTTTACTCCTCATTTTCGTTCTATTTAGTTTTAGCAATACATACTTGACGTAATTATGTAAATAGTTCTTGCAAAATAATTCCCTTCTAATTTAATTTTAACTATAAAATTTTTTATAATTGGAAATAATTGCTTTAAGTTAACAAAACTAATTTGTTCTTATTGAAATACAAATAGCAAATTAACGGATCGAGTAATTATACTGAAAAAATTGGGTCAAACAAACGGCATGTATTGTTACACTTTACCCTTCAACAAGAGAAAATACTGCTTATAAAAACAACCTGGCGTTGTACTACATTATTAAAATTACTTTCATTCATATATAAATATATTTCAAAAATTGCATACCTTTAGAATGATTAATGTATTCAATCTTGGACATAAGTAAAAATAAATTTAATGACCCGTGTAACAATTTCCAAGAGTAATACCCTGAAAAATTGACCAAAACTCTCATAAAACTCTCATACTACATTACAATACTGTCATAATTTTTTTTTCTTTTTTTGTTTTTATACAACTCTTATAAGGTTCTTATAATAAGACTTAGCATTTGTAATGTTAAAAATTCTGCTACTCTCATAGCAAAACTATTTTCAACAAGTCATAAAAAATTTTTATTCTCATAAGGTATTTTTTATAAGATGTCAATTCTTATAGAATTTTGTTCTTGAAGGAATTTCTTTATAGGCACGGCCATTTTAGTATTGTCATTTTTCCTTACCTAAATTTTAACCCTAATGAGACTGAAAATTCTCTTTTTTGTACAGAAATTATTAAATTAAAGTTAATGAAATGTAAAATTATAGTTTTATTTGAATAACAATTTAACAATTTTTAAATTTTAAAATTCATGTAAAAAAAAAAGAAATAAGATGTTATAGGGTTAAAAAATTTTTAAAATTTTAATTATTTTTAGTTGACGTTGCTTTTTTTCGAAGTACAATATCAACTTTTATCAATAAAATTTTAATGCCAGCAACTTTTTGTTTTATATTCATGGCAAAAAATTTATTTTAATTTCCCATATTTATAATTTTATAATATTAAATATTTGCATACAATTATTTATTGATTACATATGTATATTTTGTTTAATTTTTGTTAAAAAAGTAATTATTAAAAGCGGAATAGATATATTTTTTATAAAGTTCGAAGTAAGACCGATATATTTATTATACAATGTATTGTTTTCTCTTTCTAGTAATACTATTATAAATGGCTTGTGAGAGTTTTCGTATACGAAAACTAGTATGAGAGTTATATGCTTTAAAAACTCTTTTAATAGGAGCTTAACTCTCATTACAAGAATTAATAACTCTAGTAATTGCGCTCTTTCGTTCTTGTAAAGATCTCATTAGGGTCTTTTAGTGTTCTATAAGACTGAAATTGTAAAAGTAATATTCTTAAAGAATTCTTAATATAGCTCTACAAGAGTCTTGTGAGATAAAAATTGTTACTTGGGTAGGTCTTAGTATAATACTCGATTTTAAGCGTTAATTGCGTGAGTTATGCAATAAAGTTATATTTTCCAAAACTCAAATTTTACCAACTTTGATTGCCGATTACTTGAGAGGGGGTGGAGGTTTAAAAAAATATTTCTTCTAATGGAATAAACTATTTGTTAGTGCGTAAAAGCTGTTAGAATTTCAGACTTATATTAGATAATGTTAAATTTTAATGGCCATTTTGCATTTTTGCCCTATTTTGCTGTGCTTGCAAAATTTGAAAAATGCTTATGGTTTTACAATAAATAATTAAAAAATGGATTTTTTAGGGTTTTAGGTGAGTGTAACTTTTAGAGAGGGGATGTAGGTAAAATTTTCTTCTACGAAAATAAGTTTCTAGTAAAATCTATGTACATATAAAATTCCAGCTTTCTATCTTCAAGGGTGTAGAAGTTTTATAAACATATCCACGGACGAATGAACAGATTAAAACAGAGTAAAACAAATACTTTTTTTCAAAAGTATTTTGGAAAAGTGCTAAGAACTAATTCAAAAATACATATTTAGTTTTTAATATAATACTATTAATTTTTCCATATGTTTTCAATTCAATTAGCAAATTTATTTAATAAAGAAAAAGTAACATTTGAATTTAGTTCGTTTAAAAACTAATTTTAGCATAAAATTGAAGAATAGAAATACAGCTATTTTACATTTCCTAATTTTGGAGTTTCGGCTGTGGTTGTTATTCCATATAATTTAAAGTAAAAATCGAATACTTTGGATACAGAATCATTTTTAGTGGAATGTAATGGAATTTTACTTTCATTTTTTGAATAAAAGCTTGCAGCTGTTGAAAACGGTTGAATTGTACTTTTGCCAAACATAAATTGTTTTGAATGATTCGTAATTGTTTTCGGTTTTTTTATTGTTTTTGTTTCTAACGAAGTAAAATGATTCACTTTCGGAGACAAAGTAGCAACTATTCGTGATTTTAAAATTTTTTCTGACACCTTCGACTTCAATAAATTTTGTGAACCAAATGTAAGCTTCATTTTATTTGCAATATTATTTTGAGTAGTTTTTGGAATTTTTTGTGAAATATACAAATTTTTTGTGTTTGTTTCTGCTGTTTTCTTATCATTTGTACCTATGAATTTTGGTATAACTATGGTTGTATGGTTTTGATGTAACTGTGAGATTGCTGTGGTATTTAATTTGTTCGAGAGTATTGTTGTTTGCTTAGAAAAAGGGCTAATGAAAGAATTCATTTTAGTAATGGTACTTTGCTTGGCAGCCAAAAATCTGCTACTTAGTTCTGTTTTGTTGGTAGTTTCGAGACCGGTTGTTACTTTATGATTTAAGTTTGGTTTATTAATAGAAATATTATTTTCAGTTCCATTTTTAAATATAGTTTTTTTTGGGGTTGATGCTTCGGTCGTACTTCTTATTTTAGGAATTTGTATAGTTACACGTTTTGTACTGGCTTTTGTCAATGATGTTGGTGTTGGATTATGTTTTTGAAAACGATGTTCCTTGTTATTACTCTTATTTCTATTTTTAAAAGAGTTTGATGTTGTCGAGATCATTTGCTCATATATATTTTCAATTTTGTGTTGAGTTTTTGATGTGGTGAAAATTTTAACATTCAAATTACCCTTTTTTAACTTTGTGGTTTTTGCCGTGGGTGAAGTTTTTTGGAAAAATTTTCTGGTAGAACTTTTAACAAAAGGGGTAATTTTTGTTGGTTTTGGAATAGTTTTCATACTACCTATGTCATAACGTAAAGCTGTCGAATTTTTCTGTATATGGAATAATGGAGTAGTACAAGGTGTTATATAAAGTTCTTGCTTTTCATCTGTTGGCGTATAATTGATTTTGAATATTCCCGATGCATGTATTAAACTGCCAAAAGTTGATTTCAAAGTATTTGATGACATAGTTGTGTGCTCTAAAAGCATTGATTTCCTTATATATTTTGAATCAATGTATTGTAAGTTACTGGAGTAACTTTTGGTTATGTTATCTTGAGTTGGTTTTAAAGTTGTTCTGTCGAACATGATTTTGTTAATTCTTACCTCTTTTGAGTGAACATTGGTTTTTTGAATATGAGTAACATTATTTGTAGGTTTTTCAGTTTGAATATACTTAGCTAGAAATATATTATTTGGATTTAAGTTTTTGATACTAATCGTATAGTGCGATATATTTTTTCCCATATATTGGTTTCGGGAACTATTGTCTATATTAGTCCTAATACTTGTAGAAATTTTTTGTTCTGATGCTCCTTTGTCTACGCTATCTGAAGAATCTCTAGTTGAGAAAATATTCTTAGGAACTTGGAAAAACTTACTTAAAAATGGATTATTTTTATACTGCAAGGTACGGGTAGTTGTGTACGTTTTTGCTGATAAATTGCTAACCCACAGAGAGGGGAATGGTCTCTCCGTTGTAATCATTTTATTGAAAATCAAAGATTTATTTAAAAGTGTGTTGTTCTCATTTTTATTGAGAATATGTTTTGAACTTTCGCGTGTCAATAACTTTTGTAAAAATGGGTTTTTCTGAAATTTTTTAACGACGCCACTATTTTTGTTGTCGCAATTTTCTATGTACTTCTTGGATCTTCCATTACTGCAATATACCGGATACACACTCCATGCATTGAAGCCGTCGCCAGTTAATTTTTGATGTCGGTCATATATAATTTTTAGACATTTTACGTCATCAGACAGGTCCTCGTCTTCTAAGTCATAACAAGATACACCACATATCAAACCGTTTCCTGGCGGCGAACACCAAAACTCGTCACTTATTTGAAACATACCGTGATAACTGTAACTGATGGCTGATGTATTGAAATTTGATTCATATTTAGCTATGCAGACCCAAACACTTATATGATCCTCTTGTATGTCATACTTTGTACGCAGATCGTTTGCAAGTTCACATGGAGTAAAAATTTTTCCTTTTATACTGTCTCTTAAACGTCTTGGACTTGTAATATTAGAAACATTAGCATTATTATTATAATACCTTTCGGATATCTTATGTTCGGTGGTATATGTTTCTTTAGTATTTGGTTTTGGAGTTAAATCAAAACAATCTTTACTAAATTGCTCAGACCTATTTTTGCATAAACTTTCGTAAACGGTCCAAGCCTTGAAACCATCTCCGAAAAGTTTCTTGTGTTCATTATAAATAATCTTGATGCAATTAACATCGTCGCTAATATCGCTGTCACGCAATTTGTCGCATGGTAAGTTGCAACCAAAGCCTTTTCCAGGTGGTGAACACCAAAATTCGTCGTTGATTTGAAATAACCCGTGGTCGAAACTACCGTCAATGTTAATTCTTCCCAATGCCGATGTGTTGAAATGAGATTCGTAATTGGCAATGCATAACCAAGTGTTTATGTGATCGATATTTATTTTATGTAAATAAAACAATTCATATGCCAGCTCACAACGATCATAAATTTTGCCAACACGGCTAACGGAATTACGTGATTTTGTTTTATTAAATTCGTACAAACAATCATAGAATAAATTTAAATGTGTATTGCAAGATTTATTTGTGATTAATAATGCATTATCTTTATACTTATTTAAAATATTATGCTTGCCCAACATAAACTTAACGCAATCTCCATCTTTTAAATTTTTACAATCAAAACCACATATTCCATTTCTACGCGATGGAGGACACCAAAACTCATCACTTATGTCAAAAGAAGCGCTTTTTAACTTATTATCCAAACCATTTTTGGTAATGAAAGTGAAATTTTTTGTTTTAATATTAAAATGTAAAGCTAAACATATCCACATTGCAATATCCTCCGTTGCAAAATTATGTTCGTATGATAAAAGTTTTACAAGTTCACAACGTTCAAATACTTTCGCATTTATTTCGGTAACAATTAAGAATAGCATTATTGCAATTATAAATTTTGCTATTATCATAATTCGGCTAGATAAAGAAAAAATGATTGATTTTAAAATTTTCATATCTTTTTTGCTTTTATTATTTTCGAGTAATTTCAAACGGGTTGTGAATATTAATTTTGAATTATTAATATCTTTTTTGCTTTTACTTTTTTTGGGTAATTATAAATGGGTTGCGAAAATTGTGTTATTCTTGCATTAACTTTCATTTGTCAAATGTCTAACAACACGTATATACATATATTTATATACAAATTATAATAAGAACTACAAATAAACATTCCTACAATAAAGACTTAAAGATAAAACAACTTATTTTTAGAAAATCTGGTCATTTTTTAAACCTTGAAAAATAATTTATGTATTCAATTGCTATGAATTGGAAAAAGATTATTAATTTTTTATGCTAATATTTATATAAACACGATAAGCGTTAATAGAAGACTGAAAGAATTTTTTATGCGAAAAAATTTTTATTTCTTTTAGAAGTATGTTCATATGCATGAAAATTTTAATTCTTGTTTTTCTGTTCGTGAACTAAAGTTCGGGTTAATTGTTTAGACAAAACATTTATAATAAAAATATTCAAATCATCAAGTAAGTGATACTGTTTATCTAACACAAAACAAATTTATGATCGTAAGTATAAAAAAATATTTCACTTTTTAAAAAGAGTGCTTAAGTTTATTACTAAATCTTAGCGACTTTGTTTTTGAAGATCATGAAGGTAAAATTTTCCGTATTCGTAGATATAATCAAAATTGACCAGTTGTAAATATTTAGAATGGCACGTTAAATAAATAGAAACACTATATTGTAAGTAATAGTTTATTAATATTATGTGAACCATAATATTAATCAACCTATCTAGAAAAGTGATGAAAATATAACTAAACAAAAGTTACATGATACGAGTATCTTGTTATACCCTGCACTTCGTGAAGGGTATATTAACTTCGGTATGGAGTTTCCGTCCGTCCGATCGCACGATAACTCAAAAACGAATAATGCAATCGACACCAAACTTTCACAAGTTTTTTCTTTTATGCCTAGGACGAACCCTATTGTAATTGGACTAATTCGGACAACGGGTTCGGGTACCTGCCATACAACTCAAAAAGTTTGTTTTAAATATTTCAAAAACTAATACAAGTATCAATATAAAATTTTGTATACATGTGTCCAATTATATTCTACACATTCTCTAAAAAGGGATAGCTGTACCCGTTCGGGTGGCTGCCATACAACTCCAAATGCAAATTTTTTATATTCGGAAAAATAATAAGGTCAGATTAATGAAACTTGGCAGTCACGTGTCCAATTATAGGTCAGATATATTTCTGAAGTTTTAGTGGAATCGCTTGACAGGTTCAGGTACCTGCCATACAACTCAAGAAGCTAATATTAAATATTTGGAAAAATAATAAAGTCAGATTCATGAAACTTGGCAGTTGTGTGTCGAGTTATAGGTCAGATATATTTATGAAGTTTTGGTTGAATTGCTTGACAGGCTCGAGTAGCTCCCATACAAGTCCAAAAGCTTATTCTAAATATTTGGAAAAATAATATAGTCAGATTCATGAAACTTGGCAGTTGCGTGTCCAATTATAGGTCAGATATTTTTCTTAATTTTTGGAGGAATTGCTTGACAGGTTCGGGTACTTCCCATACAACTCCAGAAGCTAATTTTAAATATTTGGAAAAATAATAAAGTCAGATTCATGAAACTTGGCAGTTGTGTGTCGAGTTATAGGTCAGATATATTTCTGAAGTTTTGATGGAATTGCTTGACAGGTTCGAGTAGCTCCCATACAAGTCCAAAAGCTTATTCTAAATATTTGGAAAAATAATAAAGTTAGATTCATGAAACTTGGCAGTCGTGTGTCCAATTATAGGTCCAATTATAGGTCAGACATTTCTGAAGTTTCTATAGAATGGTTCGAGTAATTGCTATACAACAACGAAAAGTGCAGGGTATAATTCAATCGGTTTATAGCGACTGAAACGTGTTTACTTGTTTTTACTTATGTGCAGTTACTTTAAATGCAAAGTAACGTAACAAGTACTTCAGGTGTAAACATAACTAATATATAATGGTTTAATTACTTTTGCTTTTAACTATTTTCCGATCTATTTGCGCAATTGCAATAAGGCTTTCTTAACTTTAAGAGCTTTTCTGAGAAAATTAAGTGAAGCGAATTAAAAAAATGTAATCATGGCCAGATCAGAACAATGGGACTATAGCGAAAATGTGGAGATAACAGCTTTATACCTTGTGACGTCTTAACTTATGATGAAGCAAGAGACAACTAGCAATTTTTAATTTGATCTTTGATATTGATATGATAATTTTATTAGTTTAAGAAAAGCTTTTAGAAATCTTATTTTTGAAAGTTTGCTTCACCCTTACAGAAAGTTGTAATAAAGAGGTCGAAAGCAGTAATACAAAGGCAACTTGTCCCACCACAGGGTATGATATAACAAAGTGCGAAATCTGTATCCCGAATCATTTGTTGACTACATACCCGAGAGCTTAAAAATTTTATTTTTCTACGTTTTTAAAAATTTCAGTTTCGCGTTTTGTAAAATTGCGAAAAACAAAAACATGTAACTTTTAGTGTGAAAGCTTAAAATGAAAATAAAATATAAATGTAGAAAAAATTGTTTGAAAGTTTAAAATGATAATAAAATAATGATAATATATGTAGAAAAAATTGTTTGCATTTAAAAATTTACAAGGTCCCTTGGATAACATTGATGGTAGCCACCATTGTTAAGGAATTTGAAAATTACTTGCGTTATTTTGTAGAAAAAAAATTCCCAAGAAGATTTGTTGATCGGAAACTAACTTCTTTCTGTGTTTCGGAGGATTAAAAATGAACAAGAAAAAAAAATAAACAGAAAGAAAAAAAATTATTTAAAGAAAATTTTAAAAAGATATTAGGAAACTTTGTGGGGAACTACAGTTTAAATGTCCTTCAGTTTAAATTTTATTGAGGCTAAAATTGGAGAATGAAGTTATAGAAAAGTTTGTGTAAATATTTTTATTTTAAAAAATACATCAAATAAGTTAATGTTTTCTCATACATGTAAGTATGTATGCATATATATACATACATATAATTTTTTTTAATTTTTTAACACTGAATTTTGTTATTTACATTTATTAGAAATTTATTTTAATGTATGTACATATATGATTTTTGCATTTTCACATAAAATAAACTGAATTTTTTTTTATTATAAAGCATTATGAGCAAAAGGTTAATTGGAAAAACTAGTCAAAATAAATCATATTAAATATTTCAGTATATAATGCTATACATATATCTATCAGGCAATGAAGCTGAAGTTATTTTCCGAAATACGTTATTGTTAGCTAAGCACGTTACAAAAAATATTCTTAATGTTTTATGTTTTCGAAATATTCTAATTGAAATATTTTTTTTCGTGAAATTTTTGAGTATTTTCTATGGCTCTGAATTCTGATTTTATTTAGTATGTTTTTAAAAGCGACGTAGATTTTGAAAATTATTTTTTTTCTTTTGAGCACTTTCCCAAAATTATTTAAAAAAAAAAGTGCTTATTAGTTTCACTCTATCCGTCCGTCTGTCCGTGTGTCTGTTTATAAAACTTCTACACTATTGAAGATAGAAAACTGTACATAGATCCGTACTAGAAACTAATTTTCGTAGAACATAATTTTTACCTATCTCCCCTCTCTAAAAGTTATACCCCCTCAAAATCCTAAAAATGCCATTTTTCAACTACTGGAGTTATGAAAAATAATTATATTTTTCAATAAAATGGAATTTACCCCTAGTTTTTTGCGTTTACAGAAATTTGAAAAAGTTTGCGGTTTCGGAAATATAAGACGCCAAAAATTCAAGTTTTCCAAATTTCAAAACATGATAGCTTGCGAGAGGTTGAAAATGGAAAAGAAATTCCCTTTAACGAAATGAACTATTTATGAGTGTCTAAAAGGTGCTAAAATTGCAGACTCCTGAAACCTAAGGTCTAGAAGAAAACTAATATCAAAAATTTCAAAATAATAGATTTCAGATAACGGTAAATATGTACAGGCATTTTGTTTTTTAAAGTTCAAGTAAGGTATGATGCGATAGAAGAAGCAACCCAATGTTTTTCTCTGCTTGCAAAATTTGAGAAATTCTTATAATTTTATAACAATAAACAGTTAAAAATGGCATTTTTAGGGTTTTGAGGGGTATAACTTTTAGGAGAGGAGATAGATAATTAAGAGGAGATTTTTTCTACAGATGTAAGTTTCGAGTAAAGATCTATGTACGTATAAAATTTCAACATATTTAAGCATATTTTTTTTGGTATAAAGCGACTTAATTATATCCTGCACCTTAACAATCTGAGTTTAAAAATTATAATAAAATATCTAGAATTAGATTTCATTGTTATACATAAATTACTCAAACCTGTCACAATGCTCTTTAGAAACTTTACGGATATGTCTGACATATAATTTTACACACAACTGCCAAGTTGCATGTATCCAATACTATTATTTTTTTCAATATTTTATATTAACATTTGGAAACCTGTCAAGCCATTCTACTAGAACTTCAGATATATATCTGACCTGAAATTGGACAAACAAGTGCCAAGTTTCGTGAAACTAACCTTATTATTTGTCCAAAAATTTAATCTTTAATTTTGGAGTTGTATGGCAGCTACTCGGAACTGCCAAGCCTTTCCATCAAAACTTCAGAGATATGTGTGACCTTTAACTGGACACAAATATATCTATGTACATATTTTTTAAATTATTAATAATTTAATAACATTTCCATAATTTAATAACAAATTTTCTAATTGAAACTTAATATTTTTATTTTTATAAAAACGAAATATTTTATCAACCAGACTATGAAAAAATTTACTACACTCTTTTTCTAAATAAACAAAACTGTTAATTTGTTCCCCGACACGTTTGATCGTGAAATAAATTTTCTCACAAGTAATATAGCTCACTTTTGCGATTAACTACTAATATAAATATTTCGATTCTTTTTAACCAAAAGTCAATAATTTCTTATCGGCCATTTTGATTGTTCTTTCAGTCGTAAAGAATATTATAAAGTAATTACTACTAAAGTAAAAAATTATGTATGAAAGTAATTTTAAATTACAAATATTAAAATTAAATTAATGAAATTACAAAAATTGAATAATCATAAATTATAAAAAGTTATAAAGTAATTTATTCTAAGAGTTTAAGAGATGTAAAGGTTTGAAATAAATAATAATTGAAAAAAAACAAGTTGCGTTTTTCTTTATAACAAAAACTTGCACGGTTAGTCAGG